CCGTAAGGCCGCATATTTGTGTGACGTCGGCGTCAAAGGGTTAAGGGAGACTATTTTACACGCGCTTTTGACATGCAGGGAAGGTGCATCGGTGGAAAAAGCGCACAGATGTGAACAGTTGGGTTTTTTAGATTTTAACAGTAGATACAATCAACATGAACTATTTGTAAGCCGTATGCTGCTAGCATTAGTAAATATATAGGAAGGTAGATTTACACATTGGAAAAAAAAAATTTCCCATTTTGTTTCAGTTTCTTCTTCATTTCTGGCCAAAATTATGTCCAACATTCCAGGAGTCTCTTCATGGCATTTTTTTCTGATCATCTGGAGGAGGGGTTTTCTCAGCTAAGCACACCCTCCTGTCTGCATGCCTGAGCTAAGGACAGATGGATTCCAGTAAGTAAATGTTACATTAGTCATTTGCCCTTAATCAAGATAGCCATGGCCAGAAATATTAGGTGGTGTTTTTCAAAGTGATTTCTCAACAAAGTAAAACACGGAGACGTGAACAGATGGGTGAGCTTGCTTTGAATAACAAAAATGAATTAAAATAGAGAGTTTTCAGTTTGTGGTGCTCAGATAAAGTTAAGTTTCATGTTAAATCATTAAACTAAAGTGATATTAAAGCTTTTCTTTTTTTTTTTTTTTTTTTAAATACAAACATGTATTACTTGCCTGCTCTGTGCAATGGTTTTGCACACACAGCAGCCCCGATCCTCTTCTACTCAGGTCCCCTGCTGGCACTCCTAGCTCCTCCATTTTGACCAGTGCCCCCAACAGCAAGCTGTTTGTTATGGGGGCACTGGTGCATGGTTGCTACCGAGTCCCCACTCAATGTGTCCATGGGACACAGAGCCGTGGCTTGGCTCCATCCTCCGCTCTCTCCTCATTGGCGGTGATTGACAGCAGTAGGAGCCAATGGCTACTGCTGCTGTCTCAGCCAATGAGGAGAGAGAGTCCCCGGGGCAGCCAAGGTTCGCGTGCCTATCGCTAGAAAGGGGTCTCAGGTAAATAATAGGGGAAGCTGCTGCACACAGGTTTTTTACCTTCCTGCATAGAATGCAGGAAGGTAAAAAACCTTCAGCCTTCACAACTACTTCAGTAAAATTGGATTGGTTGCTTTGGTTTACATTTTTTCAGCATGCCGTTATAAAAAAGAGAAATTCAAGCTAACAAATGATGGAAGAGGTAGGTGAAGGTGTGTATCTGACTAACTGCCAAGCCTCCTTTGAATAAAACGCACATGAATCACATTCACGTCTATACACTTCACAGGCTTCTATGGGACACTTTCTCACTGGCAGAAGCTTCTGCTCTGAATGCATCTTTACAAACCTGAACGTACTTTTTTCTGTGAAACAATGGGTTCAGTATATCTGTATGATCCAGGTGTATGCAAACTCTGGCCACCCCTTCCATTCAACTGTGCAATTCATACTTTCACTGGATCAGAGGTAATTACATTGTATTGAGGGATAGGAAACAGCTGTGACTTCTCTCCAGGTTGGAATTTGCAAACAGCATACACCTGAATTTGGCATCACATAAGACGCACAGGGGTCAGTTCACTAAGGCTAGGTTCACATCTGTGGTGGTGGTGCCGCTGTGGACCCGCACAAAAATCCATGCAGCTGCACCACCCGCAGAGAAGAATGCGGACCCGCGGGCGGGTGCCATTAATTCTAATGGCACGCCGCCCGCACTGGAAATCACAACTGTACTGGGAACCGAAGTTCCTGTGCGGGCTGCATTTTCAGAAGAAGTGCAGGGACTTCTTCCCTGTGTGTCCTGGGAGTCCAATCAAATGAATGGGCTCTCGTGCCCACGCAAAACGCAGACTGCAAGAACATGGATATGTGAACCAGGGGTATGAGATCAATACTGCATGGTTTTTTGAGTTATAATAACTCATGCGCTATTTATTGCAAAAGTAGTCAAATTACTTAAAAAACGTGTTATTTACCGGATGCGTTAAATATTTATGTTCTGCGATATTTAGCACTTCAATTTTGCATTATTTTTGGTGTTTTTTTTCAGAATTGTTTTTGCAGACTAACATTACACTAGTATGCACACAGCAATACGGTGAAACTATGAAAACATTGTAACATTTCATCAGAGAAAGATCATTTTTGAATGAAAGCACACTACAATTTATTTTCATTCCTGAGCTCAGAGGAGAACATTGTACACTGATACATTGTATACTTTTCACTTTCTGGCCAGTGCAGAGTTCCTCGAATTGTTATTTTGTACATTTCTAAAATACCGCCAGCAAACACCTAGTGATAAATAACAAATCTGTTTTTTTTAATGAATTGACTTTAATGATTTATCTAATTTTTTTGTGGTATTTATCTAATTTAACAAATGTGCAGTATTTACCGCACATTCAATATTTTACTTTGATGAACTGACTCGTTATATTATGTGATAATTTATGCACGAGTCACGTGCATGCGGCAACCTTTAGTGAATTGACCCCACAGTAACCCTGTTCATGGCGCAAAAAAAAAAAAAAAAAAGGAAAAAAGGGGGAGTATAGGAATCAGACAGTGCAGTACAAGCACGGATTATTTTCGTTCAACCTATACAGTGGGGATGGAGGAATCTCCTACTGTGTCTATTGTATTCTGACAACCATAGCTGGCACCTGCCAGAATATCTGAACAGCAGCTGCCTCTGACTGGATGTAGCTTCAGTTCAACTGACAATTTTCTGCTCTGTGCCTTCAATTTTTCAATTTGCAGGGATTTTGTTTCACTTCCTGTTTGGCTATGGGACAGGAAGTGAAGGGAAATCTCCCCATTAAGACAAAGACGGAGGGGAAAAAAAAAATCTGACTGGAGTTATAACCCTTCCTTACTCTATCCAAAATGAAAAAAAAAAAAAAGAAGAAGGGTTTGCCTATAGGTCTACTTTAATTTAAAAATCATCCACCAAGTCGCTCAATTATGCTCCTATGAAGCGCTTTGTAATCTTCCATATCCTGGCACTTGGTTCCCCTTCTTGACTCTCACTCTTTCGATGAGGACAGTAATCAAAGCTTGACAGATCATCATGCCCGCAGGCACCTCGACTTCTGCTTTTTGGTCCCCACTTACTGTGCTCTGGTTTAACCCAAAACATCCAGAATTCTTGACTATCCCTGATCCCTCTATATGGGCATCACATGGTATAAAATATTTGACTAACATCTGTGACAGGGGTTCCCCAATTACCTTTGATAAACTAAAACAAAACCATAAGCTCCCTAATTCCTTATTCTTCCGATTTTTACAGACTGCGCCATGCCTACTTCTCCCAATTTGGACTCTACACTTCATCGTGTAGTAAAGATTCTACATCATTTTGAAGCAGGTGATCTAGGAAAGCCTTTATTCACAACTTACAGGGCTTTCCAGCCACCAGTGCATGTTGGTCTTGAGCTTTTCCAACCCCAGCGGCAGGTGGAAGTGCCAGATCTGGACAGAGAGGATGCCTGGGATTACACCTTTACTCAACTGGTGACCACACGAGATAGGCTAATTCAATGCAGAATTCTTCACATGGCCTACCTTACACCGCACAGACTACACCGTATTTACCCCACTGTAGAACCTAACTGTTGGCAGTGTGGAGACATGCCTGCAGACTTTTTTCATGTATTTTGGTCCTGTTCTCGCATACACGTATTTTGGGCCAATATTTTACAGTTTATTTGCTCAGTAACCACAATTCCTGTCCCTCAAAATAGTGGCTGTTTATCTACTGGGCTTGGTCAACCATCTAGCCTTTTCTAGGACATCTAGAACACTTCTGGGTCTACTTCTGTTCTATGATAGAAAAATTGTTGTGGTGTGGAAAATCAGATAGACCCGCTACTGTAGAGAGCAGGAAGAAAAATTGGTCGATTTAGTGATCCCAATGTCTAAATTGACATATCTCTCCTGAGGTTGCAACAAAAAATTCCATAAGGTCTGGGATATTTGGATCGAATTTCCCTCTACTACTAATGCTACAGATGATACTGTGCTTGACTAAAGTGATTGGTGAGTGAAATTTATGTTCCTTGAGGTGGAGGGATTATACAGGGGTTGAGTTGGTGGTCCCCCTCGTGTACCCCCTTTTCACCTTTTAGCATCTCCCTGGGACTATACATTGCTCATACTGCACTTTATTATTTATGGTGTTCTACTCCTAATGTTCTTGCTTATATTTCTGAAAACACTATGATAGTGCCTAACTTCTACCGCCTGATTGCCCACCTTGGTAATGTGGGTGCTCCTACCCTTGTTGATCAAGCGGTACGGAAGTTGTGACTACAGTTGGGATTGTTCTTTTATGTTATGTTTTCTTTGAGCTGGGGAATGCCCAAAGGATCTGTTTTGTAGAGTATTTTACCAAAACCTATAAAAACTACAGAAAAAAAAAAAAATCTAGAGTCAGGTAGAAAATTATCAGGCAAACTGTGAATGCATCCAATCAGATGCAATGAATGTTTGGCTGTGCCGCTTTGTTCAGGTACTACAGCTGCTGAACACAAATGCTTGATTTTCTCTCATTCATCCCATGGACTGAACAAGGGAAAACCAAACTAGATTTAGTCATGTTCTTTGCCTTTTGTATCTCACTGCAGCAGCCAGTGCATGCACACCACTGTCAGACTGATGTGAACTTTCAGCAGCTGTGGTGTTTATACAATGAACTCTTGGTAGTTACAAGGTAAACCTGCATTTAAAATGAAACCCCCAAAGTGATCCTCCTTCCACTGCCGCATAGAAGGTAATCTCTGGTGAAGTGCATCAGAGACTGAACAGCCAATCGCCAAAAGGTTGTCACATGTAGGCACATTAGCATGGTTTAAGTCTGAATATTCGTTATATTTCAGCAGTGTTGCGTCACATGGCCTACTCAGTTTGTGAGTACATTCATTTGTGACTTTATTAGTCAATAATTGAAACAATCCTCCAGTAAGACAGGTGCATATTCTGTATATACAATTATTGGAGAGATCTTACCTTTGCAGACTGATTCTTCGTATTAATAGGTGGATTCTTTAAAGCAGCATGTAGAGCACCTACCATGTTCCCTGTGCACAGGGGGTTAAGGAAATCAAAGGAGAAAAACACAGTAAAAAGAGGAAAATCACTGGGTGTGTCTTCTATGTACATGCAACTTTGATGTACACTCCATGCATGACAAATAGAATTCATAATCCTATTCTGTCATCTGCCTTGTATTATTTATTAATAACCTAGATCTGTAATCAGGACGTTTGATTGGCTCACCTCTGGTAGCTGTTGTATTTGTATACCAAACATTCACACGTACAGTTTAATTACCATCCATGGGGACTGGCTACCTTAGCTATTCAGTAGGCAGCCATATTCTTTACCCACCTGACTTTCAGGGCTTATACATATGGATATCAACTGAGTGTTTTTTGAGCTTTAGCAATGCAAATGTCCAGGTGTGACTATATCTGGTCTCCCATAGAACAGAGGACATGGAAATGCAATTATTTTAGCAAATGTAAACTGTTAAATAGCTTTTCTCATTAGCATTATATAGCAGTTTTGTGACTTCTACCAGAGTCCGACCGAGCACTGGTAAATCTTGTAGGAGAAGTTTTCATTCTCCTGATTGTCCTATGGGGCTGCATGACTCTTGACCCTCTGTTTGGACAGTGCTGATTGGCCCCGTGCTGATCAGATGCACCCTCTAGCAATATACAACAAACTGAGCATGTTCAGAGTGCCCCCAAGGCTCTGTACTATCAGCAGATGGATTGGGGACAATAAAAGAAAAAGGAGGATCAGAGAAGACAGGATCAAACAGCCTTTTTACATAATGTGGAGGATTAACCCCTTAGATTCCACAGTGAGTATAACACTCTCAATCAACATTGACTATTTTTAATCCTTATGTTGCTAGCATTAGAAAACAGGAAAGTATATCCAATTTACTTGTTTTAAACTGTTTTTTTTTTACATTTCTTCAGTTACTTCCATGTTTCCAGACCTTGGCAAATTATGTCATACATCCCAAGCATCTTCAGGAGGAAGAAAAGGTTTTCTCAGCTAAACACACCCTCCTAACTGCATGCCTGAGCTAAGGGCAGAGTAGTAAATGCTACACGAATCATCTGCCCTTACTCAAGATTGCCAAATGCTCGTGGGGTGTTTTTAAAAGTGATTTTTCAGTAAAATAAAGCACAGAGACAGGGATGGATGGGGGAGTTAGCGCTGTATATTAAAAATAAAAATTGCTATTTTGATTTATGTTGCTCAGGTACAGTGTAGTTCCTATTTAAAGTTACCTTTTTTTACTTCCATATATTCTTAAATGATAATAAAATACGGTGCAAAGCATTACACAAACTTTTTTCCACCACTAACTCTGGATTGCTCAACAGCTCTTTCCTGAACTTCCGGCCAGGAAGTGAACACTGGACAGGTCACATGATCACTCTCTTTGTGACTACATATCTCATTATTCCTCTCGCCCTCCTCCTAGAGCCAAACTCAGGAACTGCAGTCATTTGGTTACAGTAGATAAGCAGCAGTATGGGGCACATAGCTATAGTCAAATTTGGAAAGTGTGCATGAAAGGGTGGCTCCACCCTGACTCTGCAAGGCCACCCTAAGCCTAGATTCACACGTGAGCATGTATTGAAGTGTTTTTTGTGTTTTGTTTTTTTTACAGCCAATGTTTTGTGTTTTTCAGATGTTTTTTTTTGGGCCAAAAAGTGGGGCCAAGCTGTGCTGTCTATGGACGCAAGCAGCACAGCTCAGGATCGAGCCTGCAAGTGTTGCACAATAGGAAGCGGCTTCCCATGGTAGCACACCAAGAACAGGAGGGGGCCAAAAGAACCGACGGGGGACCAAAAAACAGGACGATTGGGCCACTCTGTGCAATCTCATTACACAGAGCAGGTAAGTATATCATGTTTGTTACTAAAAAAAAAAAAAAAAAAAAAAAAAAAAGTTTCACTTTAAAAGGAATAGGTTTTTCCTTTGGGAACATGTTCCCATAGCTGAAGCCGCCCCCCCGACGACAAATTGCAGGGGGAAACGTCTCCATGTATTATCTGTCATATTTGAAAACAACGTGGGGCTCCAGCCACACGGCTGTGTCATTCATTCATAGACTTCCGTGAATGAATGAACTGCAAGTCCTGATAGCCTTAGTGGCTGTGAGCTTGTAGTTTTCCATGAAATACCAGGGTGCTGTGGTAGTTCATTGAAGCTTTCTGTCAGTATAGCTGCTTGGCTGTACATCCCATATGGCAAACAGATATTCTGACGGGTCTGCAAGAGACCTGCATGGCATCAGCGATCTACCGATTGCTGGTGCAACGATTTACAGATCTACCGATTGCTGGTGCAACGATTTACAGACCCCTTTGGACAAAAATAATAAATGCACTTTTTTTTTTCTGCAGAAAAAAAAAAATGTACATTTATTATTTTTTGTCCAAAAGGTGAACTTATCATTTAAACACAGTAAGTACTAAGGTTAGTAACACTATATGCTCTTACACATGAGAGCTAAATAATACTTTAACCGCCTCCCGCCCGCCATATAAGGAAACAACGGGCGCAAGGTGGTCCTCTCATTCCAGGAGGATGTCATCTGACGTCCTCCCACTCTAACCGCATGGGCTCGGCTCCAGGGCAATCGGTGGTGCGCTGTGTCCCTTGGACACAGGGGATCACCATTCAACGGAAAGAGCCGAAGATGTTGGCTCGGTCATGTGATCAGATGTGTCCAATCACAGCCGATCACATGTAAATAAGGAAATGCCGGTTATCGGTATTTCTCTCTCCTCACGAGCTGTCACGCTGACAGCTCAAGAGGAGAGAAGAGAGCCGGTAATCCGCATTCCTCAGAGGGGACATGTACACTGATCATCAGTGTGCCCCGATGATCAATGTAGCCCCATCAGTGCCACCTGTCAGTGTCCATCAACACCAGCTGTCAGTGCTCATCAATGCCACCTGCCAGTGCCTAATCAATTCCACATCAGTGTTTACCAGTGCACATCAATGCCACATAGTGCCCATCTGAGCTGCCTTTCAGTGCCACCTATTAGTGCCAGTCAGTGCTGCCTATCAGTGCTATATGAGTGCTGCCTTTCAGTGCCCATCAGTGATGCCTTTCAGTGCCCATAACTGCAGCCTCATTAGCGCACATCAGTGAAGGAGAAAAATCACTTATTTACAAAATTTTATAACAAAAACTAAGAAAAAACTTTTTTTTTCCTTTTTCAAAACTTTGTTGTTTTTGGTTTGTTTAGCAAAAAATAAAAAACCCAGAGCTGATTAAATACCACCAAAAGAACAGTGTTGCATGAACGCACAATTGTCATTCAAAGTGCGACAGCGCTGAAAGCTGAAATTTGGCCTGGGCAGGAAGGGGGTATAAGTGCCCGGTAGGCTAGTGGTTAGCAATGCTCATTAAAGCTATATAAACACTGACAAACAATAGAAGCATTGAAAAGGCTCATACCTATAAGTAACTACAGAAACTAGAGCATAAAGGGGTAGATTGGGGGGGAATGAGGGTCACTCCACTCTCATAGTCCAAACGAGCAAACATATACCAGAGCTATAGTCTCCCCAGGCCCAGACACCATGACAAATCAGTCAGCACACAAGCACAAAGTGTACCCCAGCTGCTGCGAGTGTGAGGCCGTACCCCGACTACGCTGCTTAGGAAATCACAACTATGCTCTAATCTGCAGACTGGATACTTCACATTTGGTTCTCATTCCAAGCAGATTACTTGAATGCCGGATCTTTAAGAACACAGCAGCTGAACCTACACACGCTCCGCAATGAACAAGCTCCTTTTCTGTACTATTTTTAGAAAATGAGGCGTAGAAGTGGTACTATCATTTCTGCCAGCAAACAGGGAAGGAGCCAACTGGAAAATGCTAAACATGGCTAAATTTCCATCTTCCTGAAGTCTGAAGCACCCACTTCCTGCATTCCAAAACTGCAAGCAAGACACAGCATGCCTTCTTCCCAGTGGCTGGAACACACCTGTACTCATCCATAGGACACACTACCAGGTCTCAGCAAGGTGTGGAGAGTTACAGAGCACAACACGTCCTGGGAGCACACATTCCACCTATTGTTCAATACTCTGCAGAAGGCAAGCACACATTATAACAGTTGTATACACTATACCAACACAAGAGGAATATTGTAGTCTGCACTGCGAAGGGTGTAAACATTCATTACCAGTCTGAAATACTGAGGTTTGGGGGGGTTTTCCCGCAACATGTAGAGAAGTAAAGAAAGCAGAAGTATGCATCAGTCACACAATGCTTCCTCTACACGGTGCACGCAACTTCTCTTTAGAAGGTCGACACTTGATGTACAAAGGGCAGTAACCCTTAAAAACCAAAGGGATTTTACCTTTAAAGGATAAGCCCATCCTAAAGAAATGCATCATGACCAGGCTCCTGCACTCTTCCTCCAGCTCCCTGTCCATACAAAAAGGTACAGGCTTTCCTCCAGCTCCCTGTCCGTACAAAAAGGTACAGGCGTTCCTGTCCATACAAAGGTACAGGCTTTCCTCCAGCTCCCTGTCCGTACAAAAAGGTACAGGCTTTCCTCCAGCTCCCTGTCCGTACAAAAAGGTACAGGCTTTCCTCCAGCTCCCTGTCCGTACAAAAAGGTACAGGCTTTCCTCCAGCTCCCTGTCCGTACAAAAAGGTACAGGCTTTCCTCCAGCTCCCTGTCCGTACAAAAAAGGTACAGGCTTTCCTCCAGCTCCCTGTCCGTACAAAAAGGTACAGGCTTTCCTCAGCTCCCTGTCCGTACAAAAAGGTACAGGCTTTCCTCCAGCTCCCTGTCCGTACAAAAAGGTACAGGCTTTCCTCCAGCTCCCTGTCCGTACAAAAAGGTACAGGCTTTCCTCCAGCTCCCTGTCCGTACAAAAAGGTACAGGCTTTCCTCCAGCTCCCTGTCCGTACAAAAAGGTACAGGCTTTCCTCCAGCTCCCTGTCCGTACAAAAAGGTACAGGCTTTCCTCCAGCTCCCTGTCCGTACAAAAAGGTACAGGCTTTCCTCCAGCTCCCTGTCCGTACAAAAAGGTACAGGCTTTCCTCCAGCTCCCTGTCCGTACAAAAAGGTACAGGCTTTCCTCCAGCTCCCTGTCCGTACAAAAAGGTACAGGCTTTCCTCCAGCTCCCTGTCCGTACAAAAAGGTACAGGCTTTCCTCCAGCTCCCTGTCCGTACAAAAAGGTAAAAAAAATCGTACAAAAAGTAGGCTTTCCTCCAGCTCCCTGTCCGTACAAAAAGGTACAGGCTTTCCTCCAGCTCCCTGTCCGTACAAAAAGGTACAGGCTTTCCTCCAGCTCCCTGTCCGTACAAAAAGGTACAGGCTTTCCTCCAGCTCCCTGTCCGTACAAAAAGGTACAGGCTTTCCTCCAGCTCCCTGTCCGTACAAAAAGGTACAGGCTTTCCTCCAGCTCCCTGTCCGTACAAAAAGGTACAGGCTTTCCTCCAGCTCCCTGTCCGTACAAAAAGGTACAGGCTTTCCTCCAGCTCCCTGTCCGTACAAAAAGGTACAGGCTTTCCTCCAGCTCCCTGTCCGTACAAAAAGGTACAGGCTTTCCTCCAGCTCCCTGTCCGTACAAAAAGGTACAGGCTTTCCTCCAGCTCCCTGTCCGTACAAAGGTACAGGCTTTCCTCCAGCTCCCTGTCCATACAAAGGTACAGGCTTTCCTCCAGCTCCCTGTCCATACAAAGGTACAGGCTTTCAGAAGAAAAGCTCATCGCTGCACTCATGGTCCACTGTGAACTGCAGGTCCAAGGAGCAGATGGGTCTTGTAGGTCATTCTGCTCCATGCATAAATCATGGAGCTGTGCAGGAAGAGCACCACACACCCTTGCCTATTTCAAAAAGCACAGCTGTGGTGAAGAAGAACCCCCTGTATGCTGTCACAGGAAGGAGAGGGGGGCATTTGCACCATGTTACACCTTAAATACGGGTATAAAATGTAACGTGGTGCAAAGGATGGCATTAGCCTCTAATAAGTGTAGGACTGACACCGGTGTCTAGTATACAAACTAGGTAAGTCATCTGTATGCAAGAATTGCCTAAAGCAATGTCCTACACCAATGGGTAGGCAACCCTGGCTCTCCAGCCATTGTGGAACTTCAACTCCCATGAGACATTGCAAGATTCTGAAAGCTAAAGGGACAACTCCCAGAGGCATGATGGGACTTGTAGTTTCCCCACTGAAGTGTCCCCTGGTCTGCACCCACACACACCGACAGACCGATCACACACACACCCGCACACCTACAGACCGATCACACACCCCACACCGATCACACACACACCTACCTACACACAGACATACAGACCGATCACACACACACCGATCTCACACACACACACCCCTACAGACCGATCACACACACACACCTACCTACCTACACACACACACCGATCACACACACAGACATACAGACCGATCACACACACACCTACCTACACACACACACACACACACAGACATACAGACCGATTACACACACACACCCCTACAGACCAATCACACACACACACCGATCACACACACACACACACACCGATCACACACACACCTACACTCACCTGGGCACAGTCCACCTCTCTCACGGGACACACACAAAAGGATATCCCCGGATAGCTCCGTCCACCTCCCCCTCATCCGGTCCTTGCTGCCCCTCTCCGGCCTCCTCCTCGTCCACGAACTTGTTCTCATCATATTCGTCCACGTCCACCTTCCGGAAGCGGGCAGACACCGTGTTCTTCGACATCCTGTACCGGGAACGCCGTGAAGCAGGCAGGGAGCGGTCAGGCTCAGTGCGCATGCGCAGCGGCTTCCGCTCTGACTGCCGGCTTCCTGTGTCTGGCTGTGTGTGATGTGTATGGGCTGACACCCGCCGCCCTGCCGTGAGGGGGGGAGTGGGCGGGGCTTCATAAAGGGGAGCTCCAGCCCGCTTGTAGTAGATTATTCATCCTCATCACATGACCATGGCACAGCCGATCTGATTTATGTCACATCAGAACACCTCTTACAGTGCACAGTCAGAGAACACTGCTGCCTTTATTGTGTGCTTTTCAGGGTGTGGAGGGTTAGAACCCCTCTGTGGTTTACTGATATCCAAGCACCATGACAGATGTCCTCCCTGTCCCAGCGACATGAAAGTACAACTAAAGGAAACGCTATTATTGCAATTTGGATAAAGAAGGATTATAACCTGTCAAGTTTTTTTGCCTTCTGTGTCCCATTGGGGAGATTTCCCTTCACTTCCTGTCCCAGAGCCGAAACAAGAAGTGACAGGAAATCTCTCCAAAGTAAGAGAATACCTGGTTTTCCCCGTTGGAATATTTCCCTTTATCAGGCCCCTTCCACGTGGGCGGACTGATAGGATCTGCCTTTTTATTTTTCAGGAGGACCCAATCGGACCATCAATTGCCCTCTATGGAGTGGCGGATATAAATTGACAGGTGGGGGATCCATTTCCCACCCATCTAGCACAGAGGTCTCCAAACTTTCTAAGCCAGGGGTCTCCAAGACCAAACTTTCTAAGCAAAGGGCCAGTTTACTGTCCTTCAGGCTTTAGGTGGGGCCGGACTGTGGTCAGTGGGAGTAGAAAATGCCCCGGCATCAGCGCCCCATCATTGGTTTTAAAGGGGAGGAATAGTAGTCCCTTGTTCATATCAATGAGAAGAATAGTGCCCCATTGATGGTGTCAGTAGAGGGAATGGTGCTCCATGATCGGTATCAGTTGGTGGAAGAGTGCCCCAAGGGCAAGCAATGGGCCACATCTGGCTCCTGGCAGGGGAGGACTGACAATTCATGGGGCCCCCGGGCAATAGTAAATCTTGGGGCAACTGTGTCCTCGCCCATACTCAAACCACACCCAAAAAAGCCTATGAAAGGTACCAGCGACATCTCATGGGGCCCCCTACTGAACCTGGGCCCTCTGGCAGTGCCAGAGTACCCGAATGGTCAGTCCGCCCTTGGCCCCCAGGCCACAGTTTGGAGACAACTGGTCTAGCAAATCAGATGAAATGACAGTTGGATATAAATGGATTGGCAGTTCCATGCAGGGCTGCTGTTAGAGACCATTGGGCCCCATACAGCCAACCTGACAGGATCCCCCCAATAAAACACAGTTTACTAGGCTTCAGTTATGAATGAACACAGCAAGTGATCAGTACCAATCGCTCATTGTGCTCATTCAGGAAAGGAAGGGGCTGGTAAATGTGACCTTCCCCCATTCTCCATTCTGAAGGATACCATTGTGTTCTTGCATCTGCCAGTGGAAAGGAAATGAGGGAAGCTGGTAGCACTGTGGGGGTGGGGGGGCACGAGATGTAGGGATCGGTACTAGTAACTGTCCTTCCCCCCGCCATGCCAATCACCCTCCCTGAACCAATTTACCCAGCTACCTGGGCCCCCTTGCTGGCCTGGGCCCCGTACAGGAGGACTGATGGTACCCCCTTATCCAACCAACCATTGAGGAATATGGGCTGTGTCCGTTCTGCTGATGCCTGTCATCCACCTGCTCAGTGGGCATCAGTGGACACATCCCCTGCTGAGCAGGTGGACCTGCTGGTGAAGTCCGCTCATGTGAAAGAAGCCTTAGTGTCCGGTCATACCAGTGCGATTTCTAAAGTAGTTCTTGTATCACTTTTTCTGCAGTTTATTGAGATTTCACATACATAGAATATAATGGAAACCGCACAGCAAATCGCAAGAAATCATTGAAAATCTTCAGAAGTCTTCAGAAAACGCTTCTGAAATCACACACAAATTGCACAAATTTAAATCACAACGGTGTGACTGGCGACTTACCCCTGGTTCACATCTGTGCGGGTGGTGCCGCTGCAGGACCCGCACAAATACCTGCAGCCGCACCACCCACACAGAGGAATGCGGGACCCGCAGGTAGGTGTCATTAATTCTAATTGCATGCCGTCCACACTGGAGATCGCAGCTGTACTGGGAACCTCAGTTCCCGTGCGGGATGCGATTTCCAAAGTAGTGCAGGGATTTCTTTCCCAAGTGGGCTCTTGTGCCTGCACCTGCATGACCACACAGCTGTGAACCAGGGCTTAGTCACCAGTCACACCATGCAATTTAAAATCGCTCGATTTGTGTGCAATTTTAGCGCAATTTTAGGTGCGATTTCTGAAGACTTTATTGCTACTTGTGAAGATTTTCAACAATTTCTTGCAATTTGCAGTGTAGCTTCCATTGTATTCTATGTACTGTATGTGAGATCGCAACAAAACTACAGAAAAAGTAATGCAAGAACTACTTTAGAAATCACGTTGCAGCAAATCACACATGTTAAGACACTGACATTCACATTCATTAGATGCAATTCCAGGTGCAATTTCAATTCGCAAATCACACCTGAAATCGCGCAGGTATGACAGGGGACCTACTTTCTCAGGGGCAACCCACCATTTGGGATTTTCTTTTACTTTCACTACTTTCAATTATAACAGCAAGAGCCCATTCACACTTGTTTGACTTGTCATGCGACTTTCGGGTCTAAAGACTCATGACAAGTCACACCCCATTCATATCTGTGCTACTTGAAAGTAGTTCCTGCACTACTTTATTCCAACTTTCATGCGACTTGAGGGCCATAGACCTCAAAGTAAACCCTCCAAAGTTGCATGAAAGTCACACCTGAATGATACACATGCGACTTGTGTGCAACTTTTTACAGCAGAAACAATCATCCTTGGCCAAAGCCAAAGTCACACCATGCTTTAAACTCACACCATCTTTCCCATGTTTTTTTTTTAATTTTCAATGTTGTCCTCTCCAATATGGTATAGTTCCTCCATCCTGTACATATATTCCACTCTATATATCCAATCTTTTATTTTTGAGGTCTCCTGCGCTTGACAAAATCTAAGGATCAGTCCTTTAGCTGCATTTATTAAATGAAATAGCGTCATATTCTTATGTTGTTTCACTGTAAACTCAGTATTATGGAATAAACAAACCCAAGGATCTTTAAATATACTACACTCCAGTATCTCCTGTATTTGTTGAATTATTACTTGCCAAAACTCTTGTATTTTGGGGCAATCCCACCATATGTGTGCCATTGTTCCCTTAATCCCGCATCCCCTCTAACATAAAAGTGAACTCTATAATTGTTGCTTATGTGCCACACTAGGTGTAATATACCATCTTACTAAACATTTATAATTAATTTCTACTGTATTCATATCCATAGCACCATGTGTTTATTTAAATGTTTTCTTTTTTTTCTGCCCATTCAATTTTGTTCCAAGAACGGTGGCGAAACAGATCCAGATATTGTACTAAGAGTCTTATAAATGCTAGAGGTAGCAGGTTTTTGTATTATATCTGAACTAAACATCTGCTTAAATGGATACATGTCCTCCACTGCCCTTAATGGCTGTGGGAGCGTTGCAACAAAGTGTCTTAATTGATAGTAATGCCATTCACCCAAGACAAAAAATAAATCTTTTTGTTTTTTAAATCTTGAAAAGAACATTTTCCCCATTTTCCATAATATCTTTTAACCGTGCATTTCTATCTTTTATCCATTTTCCTGAAATATTATCTTTCCCCAGTTGGAAAAAAACATGTTCCCAGCAAAGGTTTTAACAGTTATACTCCCACTCCCCTTTGCTTATGAATTACATCCCAAACCCTAATTACATTCCGTGTTAAAGTACTTGTATTTTCAGCAACCGTACAAAACTGTTGTGGGAGCCAAATAATCCTACCTAACTGTGGCTCACTTAGTGTACCTTCCATTTTTACCCAATTTTTCCCCCGTGAGGTATATATCCAATCTGATATTCTTGATATTAACACAGAGTAATAAAATCTCTGGCACATTTAGACTAACTTTTACTTTATCATTACACAGAACCTCATACTTAACTCTTGGTTTTTATTTACCCATATACAGTGGGGCAAAAAAGTATTTAGTCAGCCACCAACTGTGCAAGTTCTCCCACTTAAAAAGATGAGAGAGGCCTGTAATTGGCATCATAGGTAGACCTCAACTATGAGAGACAAAATGAGAAAAAAAAATCCAGACAATCACATTGGCTGATCTGGAAAGAATTTATTTGCAAATTATGTTGGAAAATAAGTATTAGGTCACCTATAAACAAGCAAGATTTCTGGCTCTCACAGACCTGTACCTTTTTCTTTAAGAGGCTCCTCTGTCCTGCACTCATTACCTGTATCAATGGCACCTGTTTGAACTTGTTATCAGTATAAAAGACACCTGTCCACAACCTCAAACAGTCACACTCCAAACTCCACTATGGTGAAGACCAAAGAGCTGTTGAAGGACACCAGAAACAAAATTGTAGACCTGCACCAGGCTGGGAAGACTGAATCTGCAATAGGCAAGCAGCATGGTGTGAACAAATCAACTGTGGGAGCAATAATTAGAAAATGGAAGACATACAAGACCACTGATAATCTCCCTCGATCTGGGGCTCCACGCAAGATCTCACCCCGTGGGGTCAAAATGAACACAATAACGGTGAGCAAAAATCCCAGGACCACACGGGGGGACCTAGTGAATGACCTGCAGAGAGCTGGGACCAACGTAACAAAGGCTGCCATCAGTAACACACTACGCCGCCAGGGACTCAGATCCTGCAGTGCCAGACGTGTCCCCCTGCTTAAGCCAGTACATGTCCGGGCCCGTCTGAAGTTTGTTAGAGAGCATTTGGATGATCCAGAAGAGGATTGGGAGAATGTCATATGGTCAGATGAAACCAAAATAGAACTGTTTGGTAGAAACACAACTCTTCGTGTTTGGAGGAGAGAGAATGCTGAGTTGCATCCAAAGAACACCATACCTATTGTGAAG